GCCGTACATCGTCTTCCAGCTGTAGGAAGTTTCAAACTGTCCTCTTCAACCAAAAATTAGTGAGATAGCTTTTCCCAAGCCCTGAAGTGAGTATTGAAAATAAAGTACGACTAATTTGATCCATTGCAAAATTAAAATGCAAGTTTTGAAAAAGAGACGCGTTATAGATAATTCAAACCGTAACGTTTATTTTGCGCCACTATGTACTTTAACACGCTGTATCTCAGCAGGCGAAAATTTAGGACTTTATAGAAACATTTCTTCTTATTTCTGAACGTACGTTCTAGAACGGAAATATAGAAACTAGTTGTTGAATCCCGTTGTATACGCTTTTTCAATATTTACCTAAAAAATTCACACGTTCGTGTGCAAAAATACTGCATTATTCAAACCATCGTCTTGCTGAGAGTCACTTATTGTGCATGTGAACGTATGTGACATGCACCTCAGGCACAAGACGACACATCGAAATGGCCGTGAATGTGTGTTGGGTGCTTATAGTCCTCCAGGCGCTGCTTGTGGTGTTGTTTGCTGTCTATGTCAGATACGAGGACAATTATGATGCAATGAAGTACCCATGTAAGTCTTTTTTGTCTCGTACCGTTTCAGCAGCAAAGAATAGCGTTAGGTATACTGGGTGACAAAGAAAAGGTAAGCAACTGCGTATGTTTATCCGATTTTAATAATTTTTTGCATATATGTTCAATGTCCCCTACTAGTAAATTGAATTTTCAGCTTGATTCGTCAACTGACTGCAGGAGCTGGTTCAATAATGTGTTGAGGATCCACGATTTCTTATACACTCATTGACACGCCTGTCGTATCCGGCGATATACCGTACGCATACCAACCATCCTTCCAAGCTCTTCAAACCACTGATTAGCGATGGCTCGAATACTACTGAATCTGTCTCTCAGAGCCAGAAGTCTCAACCGGCGGTCTTGTCGCTCTGTGCTCCCTCTGGAACATCCAGAACCCCCTGCTTGATATCCTCGGGCTTCCTGAATCCACGCTCATTCACACTACGTAAGGGTCTGTTTGTCATCCTAGGAACTTATCTCTTACGAACTCTATCAATCACATAAAGGCTTCTCAATAAGCTATACGAAATTTAACATTTAACTGACACCGTAAATGTACGAAAACTGAATACTTTTTTATCACCAAACAATACACGCAGTCACCAGAAAAACCTGACCATTTTATCACTTGTTGTTCATGGCGAGATAAATCGATATGAGCAAAGTTCTTGAATTCTAATAAACATACGTAGATGTTTACCTTTTTGGTCACTCATTTTTTTTGGTAGAACACCTATTATTCCCTCTTCACTTCTGTCCCCCTCTGTTTCTGCTGATATGGTTTATGAGTTGATACCAACAAAACATTACAGAAACCTGACTAATGCCTCAATAAACCTAAAATTTAAGCTACAGAAGGACTAAACACGACACTCAAATGCTATGATATTAGAACTGGACGATTGGATGTATGCATGGCCATATTTATATCCAAAATATATTATTTTATATCATATTTTAAGTTTCGTGGCAGAACTGTTGCTAACCTAGGGCGTCAAAAACTGTTGAGCAGGTCACGGCACTTGCCTATATGTTATGTTCATTTCTGTTTCTTGAAACTCCTTTAATCAGTTCAAGAACTTCATCTTCTAAAGTAATCTTCACCGTCATCCATTTTTTTCAAGTATAATAAACGGTTACGATTTAGCTTTGATATATAAGAGGATTGAACAGAAAGAAAAAGCACAACATGCCAGCCAAAAAAAACCGCTTCCCATTTATGAAATGTTCATGCAGTAACAAATTCGAGCTTTTACGAGTAGTTCACTCTCAGAACTGTTCGAACTAGTTCACAGCCAGTTCGGTATCTCAGCTCGAAATCGGTTCCATGTTCTGCTCAGTCCAGTTTTGAATTAGTTCGATAGTTTGTTGCAACAAACATCAATGAACGTCATCTAGACTAACTCATAACTCGTTTTCCGCTTCCAGTATTCCAAGATATCCACGTAATGTTATTCGTTGGATTCGGCTTCCTGATGTCCTTCTTAAAGAGATACGGATTTTCGTCTGTCGGATTCACCCTGCTGCTCGCGTCCTGCATTATCCAGTGGGCGATGCTTTGCCAGGGCTTCGCGAGACTCGACGACGATTATAAAATCCGAATGGGTATCGTGAGGTGAGAACGCAATATAGACAACTACTATGTGCTCTGACTAAGGCATGTGCTTCAAATCCTTGAAAAATGAGTTACGACAAATCTTACGACTTTGCAATGGAGGTACAACACAAAATTCAAATATAGTGAAAACAATTCTTATGCAGATACGTGATGAACTTTTAGTGTGCAATTCGATAGCTCCGTTTTTTTAAAGTTATCTTAGACAAGTTCGATGCAAAATTGTAAGGTAAGCTTCTATACTACCGATTGACGATAAGGCATGAAAATAATTAATGTTGTAATTAGGTACCATCGCTCTCTCCACATTCCATATAGTGTTTCCAATGTCAAGCTTCACGGTGTTTTCAGAATAGGAGAAGCCAAACCTTGTCGTAAAAGTATTTTAAGATTTTACCTCATTCAAACCTAAATATCTCCATAACAATTGATATGAAAAAAAAATCTCAGGAGACATATACTAAGTGACATATAAATCCGAACACCCAGTTTAAATGGTTTTATTTTAATAAAATTTTGTATAAGTACTTAATGAAGCATAAAAAGTAAATGATAAAAATTTCAAAATGATTGCACTGCTTTAAAGCCCTTTGACCCTTAACAATGTGTGGATGCACCATGATGTACTACGCATTCTCCAACGCGCCTAGGCATGCTTCTGATCAGGTGGTCAATGTCCTCCTGTGGTATCTCATTCCAGGCAACCACCAACTCCTCTCGAAGTGCTTCTAGAGTCTGAGGAGGACGTTGCAAATTGAGCAATCTCCTACCCATCATATCCCACACGTGCTCAATTGGGGATAAGTCGGGAGATCTTGGTGGCCATGGTAACAATGTGACATCATTATGTTGAAAGAAGTCTATTGTGACTCTTGCAACATGTGGTCGGGCATTATCTTGTTGGAAAGTTGGATCTGCTAGGGTGTCAAGATAGGGTAAAAGATGGGGTTCTAGAACTTCGTGGATATAACGCTGCGCGTTCATGTTACCTCTGATGAAGATTAAAGGTGACCTGGAACCATAAGCTATAGCACCCCAAACCATAACTCCAACAGTGTGATGAACATGTCTTTCAACAAAAAACTGTGGATTCCTCCGTTCACCTCGTCGCCTTCTAACCCTGGCACGACCATCATGCATGCCTAAACAAAATCGAGACTCGTCACTAAAGACGATACTGTTCCATTCCTGATCCCAGAGTGACCGTTGTCTGCACCACTCAAGGCGATTACGTCGGTGTTCTCGAGTTAAAGGGAGGACCCAGTGTGGCCGGTATGAAAACAAGCCAAAACTTCTCATTCGTCGGTAAATACTTAGGTCTTCCGTGTTCTGCAAACCATTCATTTGCAATGGACCTGGTAGTGGAGAAACGGTCCCTTAAGGCCAATAATCTTAGGCGGCGATCTTCACGGTCTGTTGTTCTACGGCGGCGTCCAGTGCCCCTTGCTCTTTGCGTACGGCTTTCTCGAAGCCATGCCTGACAACACCTAATCACAGTGTCTACACTTCTTTGCACTCTAACTGCAATTGCCCGAAAAGAAAGTCCAGCTTCCCGAAGTCCCACTATACGGCCCCTATCAAACTCACTAAGTTGACGAAATCGTACAGGTCTCCGTACTCTAGGCATCGTAACCGATCGTAAAGGATGTCAAGAACCAAAATCCACCAACGTTGATTCTTTACTGCGGCTGAAATATTCATTTTTAGAGCGTTAGTGAATTAAAAAAAAGCAGTATAAAAACCGGAATGTCCAACTGATAAGGCTGAAAATTTTTTCACTTGTTATTTACAGTAAGATAAATACATTCACCAACTTTTATTAAAATAAAACCATTTAAACTGGGTGTTCGGATTTATATGTCACTTAGTATACTTTGTGGAAAATTGATAAGATGTTCTTCTTTTCTACAAGAAAATCAGTGGCGTAGAATATATTTCCCATTAGAGGTCCAGATACCCCAGTTTATACGCCCCTCTATATATTCTTGCGGTACCTTCTTGTACTCTTCCCACTGGGAAGAGCCTCTCCTATTTACTATAATCTAGTTCCTTAGACCATGAGGATGCTTTGCCCTTACCTTGAACTTTGCGTAACGGGCAGTTTTCCTCATACGAAGTCTACTCACAGACTTCACACCTGCTTCTATATCAGAGTCCCTACAAAGGTTGTCTAGAGTCACTCCAGGCTTACTATAAAGATCTGCCATAAGGAGCGTATTTGTCTGGAAATCTCCAGCAGCCTTAAAAAGTATTTTCGTGTGATCTAATAGAAAGGGTGTTAGAGAGACCTTCCAGTCCCTAACCTTCCAGCTAATTGAGTCCACTCAGACGACAAGTCGGACCCCTCTCGGGTAGCCTTCACGTGCTGGCTTAAGTTTCGGGATTGTATCTCCTAAGACTTCTCGTGTAGACTTCGTTCCCCATAGTGGGACCCGGGAATCAGAACATCACGCGGTGGTAGGCAGGAAGGTCACCGAAGCTCAACGTAATGAGCCTAGCACCTTCCCACTGCCGCAAATCCCGCACGTGGGCCTCTAACCTGGAGAACTCGTCCTCGCAGATGGTTGTCCTTCGAGAGAAGTAATAGTTAATGTACCTCGGAAGGGCCACCTCATCTGAGAGTCCATCTATCAGCACACTGAACGGCTTCTGGATCTGTCCTTAAGCCTAAGGTGACTATCGCATACGATAGTCATCCTGAGACGCACTTGAGGGGTCGTGCGGGATCTTTTCCGCGAGGATGCGTCCTTCGGTGTCCCACCGACAGAGCACGATCGGTGTCCCCTGGTGAGGGGCCGTCCGGATGTTCGGGGTCCAATGTTAGGAGGACCTCGGGGTTTTTGTTATTATCGTTGTGGTCCATGATTGTTCCCTTCAGTACTCTGCGAGGTCGCCGTGTGTCGCAGAGCACACCTGTGACACAACGAATCATCTGATTAGCCGAGTTACCAGCTTTTTGAAGGCCCCCCTCAAAACATTAGGCTTACATTTTGTAGGGGAAAGACTGCATTAATGTACGATCATGGAATGATGGGCAAGTACCTTAATTCGTCAGTGGGTAGCACTTAGGAGAATATATTTTGAGGTGTGGTGCGCTGTAGAGAACTGTCAAAACACCACTACTCAGACAGACGTTTACAGCGATAATCACATTTGTGCACCGAACAGCAACACATACCGAACGGTCCAGCTCTGAAGTCCACCGCGAAACTAATTATATTGTTAGTCAGAGGCATAAATTAATGAAATTTGGTAGGTCTGTTGTTAGTTGAGAGAGCGAAATTTAATTTTGGATTGGGAGCACATTGTACAGTTACCTGGTATAAATTAAATTCCAGAAAGCTCTATATTTCAATGAAATGAGTGTGGATTAATTATTTTGAGTTCACTGGAAAACAATATTGAAGTGACCTTATACTGGCATGATGATATGCTAGCTAAAAAGAGATTTGTTGGTATTAAAGCTATATCCATACATTTGAAACTTTTTACATAGATGCAGCCGCGCAAACAGATGCTAAAAACTAGGGCACCGCGGATGCTTTGGAAGCAATACGTTGTACAAGACTGTTGCGTCCCCAAGCAGTGATATCCTCCAGGTCTCTCATCCAGCTTTGTTGATGTCGAGCGACAAGAGCACCCATCTTACGGTCTTATGCCTGAATGTTACTTCCCGCATAGAGTAGGGCACTCTTTGAATCGACGGCACTCGAGCGTTGGGAGTAACGTCCACGGTGGAGTTGGCAGCAAAAATCTTGGCAAGCACTTTCGCTTTAACCTTTGAGTCGGTTACAATTGTTCCATCCCAGCACTCTTTTACATAGGCTTGTTGGGTTCCGAGATTTTTCATCGAAACTTAAAATTACGTGTATTAGGGAGCACGACACCACCAAAAAAATGTACTGTGCCAATATTGTAAGATAAAATTTCCTATTTTCTGTCCTATTATATGACTTTCGGGTCACTCTATAGAATAATAGCTCGAAACTTCAATTAGGAAAACTACATCGTTGCCTACAACAAGCAAGATGTCATATTGTAAATTATGAAATGTTCATTTATTTATTTTGCAACAGCCAACAACTTCATAACTGTTTGCAGTGTATACAAGGCGGACATAGCGGCTGGAGTAATTCTAATTTCTACAGGAGCGGTTTTGGGGAGAGTATCTCTAATGCAATTGATAGCTATGGGCTTTCTGGAAACCGTTGTTTATTGCATCAACTTGCATTTGGGATCTGAAGTATTGCGGGTGAGTATCACTTTACAAACACGACTGCAAGTTAATTTCAGGTGAAAGGGTGTCATCTTTATTGTTATACATATACAAGGAGACGGATATCCCATAGCACTTTACCTGTTCTTGAAATGCATGATAAATCAAAGTTCGGCGTCAAACAGTATTTTTAAAAAAAATTGTCCACATCGAGTAAACGCCTCGCATCCACCATTTTTTTAATGATACACTGGCAGTGACTGTCTCGCATCCACCTTTTTTTTAAATTATATGATTGCAGCCGCATTGGGCAGTGACCGTCCCGCCTCCACCATTTTTTAAATGATACTATCAGATACCTCGTTGGGCAGTGACCGCCTCGCCTCCACCTTTTTTTTAATGATACGAAGATTTTAATCCCTGCCCAAATCGGGGATCAAATCTGATATAATGCCAAAATTGATATGACATCAATTACTGAGCACTTTATTGAAAAGAACAGTGTATTACTTACCCGAGGGAAATAATTTTAGAAACAAGGTTTTATTTTTAAAAATGCATCATCGTGTCGATCTAATGTAATTTGTGGATATATGAACCACTGTTTGGCACACACATCCTCTGTGTGTGCGCGATGTTTATGCAAAATATGGGCAATCATGTTTTTAAGTAAAGTATTCCAGTATGCAAGTAACGTATGTACGTACCAGGTTTGCGTTTCAACAGCTTAGCTATCCAGTTACAGAACTACCCAGTGTTGCCACATCAAGTTTTTCAATAAAAAATCTTGAATCTGAAATCGTGGTAAATCCACAAAATAAACGTTAGATTGGTCGGATTACACTCCATTTCAACTCTCACTCATGGTGATTTCTGGTACGTCCAAAATTTCCTCAAATTTCCATTCCGTGTGTGAGTATTTTGGAAAAAATCCCTCCGCACTTTTTATTTGCTGTATCCAGTATCCAGGTACGGTCTGTGAGTTCTAGCCTTTTCGCGGCTATATTTCTACATACTTTAGAGTTCACTATGAGCTTTTTCAGTTCTTTTTGGCATATTGATGTTATTTTCTGTATTCCAACATCAGAACCGTCTTCCTTGTTCCATTTGTCCTATGGTACTTTCTATTCTCTCTTGTTCTACATCGGAAAGTTTTTAGGCATTCTTTTGTTTCATTTAATTATTCCACCAATACTCTGCTTCACACACTTTTTAATTTTTGTGGTATACGCCGAAGGTGTTTCCACATGCTCTTATGAATACATCCTTCAGCAGTTAAACTTTTCCCTTAAAATCATCCAGTTTTGTGTTCCATAAGGTTTCCGGCGCATGCTTTTAATCTAACTTCATTTATCTTCCACCTGAGGATCTTATGTGTCTGTGGTTTTTCATATTTGATAGTCATTCAAGTTTTCATCATGGAGTACTTAGTTTTTGATTTTACATAAAATACATTCTATAATTAATTCACCTGAAAACTCTATAAAAGTAGAAGAAGGATTAGGTTCGTTCACATCTATAATTCAATATATACCCGACATATATCGTATTTAATGTGCCATCATCCTTCTCGTTATAGCTATGGTTTCACATACAGAACTTCATAAAAGAAGAACGGGAAGTTTATAATTGGAAAATTCCAATTTAAAGTTTCGCTCGTTATATATCTGGTGTCTGAAGTTGAAAACAGTGAGCATTGTTTGCAGTGCTTGAACCGTCCTGGCGTTGAGAACTGCATGGGGAGCTTATTGTTCGCCGCTTTTATCGAATCGACGGAAAATATGAGTGATATTTGTGCTGAGCGCAGATTGACTGTTTACATTACATCTATTCCTAATATGCAATGTTATTGCAGTCCACCGAATAAATATAGGTTAAAGTAGTCACCTCCACTGGCCTTTGAAATCAGGATACGCTTTCAAGCACCGAACCAAAAGCGTCAAAATGAAAACTAATCGTTTTATACTTATCTCACACTACTCTTAGTACAAAATGATTTTGAAACTTCGTGTCCTCAAAGTTGGAACTTTCAGAGTGTATAGGCCAAGCAATAGTAAGCAAGTCCCCCTAGTAGCACATATACCAAATCCTCAAGATAACCGAGATGTTTGGTTCCAAAAAAAAAACTCTAAACGGCCTTTCCTCTCTGCCCGCCTAGGTCAAATCTATGATTATGTTAGTCAGTATCTCGACCAGCACTTCCGCCTTGGCCTTTGAGTCGGTTACAATCATTCCATCCTGACACGAAGGTGGTGGAAGGCTACTTTTTGAGAAGTTCCTTTCAATCTGCTTGGCCAGCGTCCAGGAGGACCCTGCATAATCGATTCCTTGGTAATTGGTCGATCACCCTGCATAATCTTGAATATTTCTAATATGTATTTCCTGGAGGATAATCATGATACGGTGCTCTACGTGTTTAGATTTACCACACAGTGAATGTTTAAAAGAATTAGCCGAAAGCCATTCCCCACGAGGTTTCTGCGGGGTCTTTTGTTTTCATCTAATTTCAACTGTCATTATATTTTAGGCGATAGATGCAGGAGGTTCCATGTTTGTACACGTTTTCGGTGCTTACTTTGGATTGTCAGTAAGCATTGTTATTGAGAGGACCAATAATGCTGATGCGTCCGATGAAATATCTCTTAGAACATCTAACTACTCTTCAGATCTTTTCGCTATGATCGGTAAGTACAGCATGACAACGTAACGCAATTTAAAAGTACATTGGTAATGCTGCATTTCTTTATCCAACCAACCATAGGCATCTGTTTCATTTTCGTTGGCAATCATCAGCACGGTTTTAAAAATTTGTAATTTCTGAGATACGCTGTGTGAGAACTTAGGCAACGAGACGGACTAGCCATAAACGCAATATTCCACGCATCTGGAAAACAGGATGTGATTTATAATAAATGCAATGTTAAAAAGTATTTTACCATAATGAGTGTAATCCCATCATCCTCTAGAGCAGTGGTCGCCAACCCGTCGATCTCGAGCTACCGGTAGCTCGCCAACGGAATTTTGGTGGCTCACAACATATCTTAAAAAGGTGTAAAAACCATGGAAGCTTCCGTAAATTTTGTAAATTCTCATAATAAACACAAGCAGCGGCAACACTACGGTGAGGCGATCTGTTCGAGAACGATCTCGATTACTTCGAACGGAATAAATACGCAAGGCGCGGCGATAGTGCGCTCAGCTTAAAACTTAACGGCACAAAGTCCAGCGGTTGGGTTAGAGTCGACCTGCAATTAATGGCGGTATAAAATTTTACTCCAAACATTAAAAAAATGTCAGTGAATCTGACTGTCAGGCTTCTGATTGAACACGCATTTTTTATCTGGACTGTTTTTGTTTAAAATAGTGCATTGCTTTTTTATTTTTAGTTACCTTTATTAAATCGTATGTAAGATGCCATTGTAGCTGACGAAAAATTTCGTTTATTTTTCAAACATCTACGATTGGTAGGAATGGATGTGGTTATGTACTAGTATGTATTAGTTATTAGTTTAAGTTTATTAGTATGTATTAGTATTAGTAAAATAAACACATGTATGTCGCCTACAACTGTGTATAATTTCATTTAAGCTGGGTTACATTGCTTACGACTAGATAGCCCACTGTTTATTCCAAAATCATCAAAGTCGATCAACACACTGGAAAGGTTGACGCCCGCTACCCTAGAGCATTAGTTTTGATGTTGATGTGAGATCCCTCTTGACAGATTGTTTGGCAATCTTTTGAACGCAGAATGACTTAATAAACTGATTGTTTTGATATTTATTCAGCAGTTCTAATTTGGCTTGGTTATACTATAATGCCTTATTCAGGGTGGGCCAACGAAGAGGTCGCCCCCCATTAGTGACTCTCCTTGTATATTTTCGGAAAAAAGCTCGGCCACGTCAATTTTGATTTCTAGGGGGACGTCTTTTCATATGTAGGCGTACAATACAGGGTGGCCAAAAAATAAAGTATTGTGTCAACTGTCATATGTCACCTGTCTTTCTACTTGGTCACTTGACTTGACTACTCATCAGGGTAGGCCCGGGGCCTTTTGCCGCCAAAAAATTACTGAAGTTCTGACTGGCAGAAAAGCGAATCTCTTTATTAAAAAAAATGCTTAAGATAGATTATGCGATTATGACAATTATATGAAAAAAGCAGTCAATGTGAAGAAATTAAGAATAAATCATAGTTTCAGATGATCAGACCAGATCTAGGTCTTTTGTGTTTGAGAATTGATGCTGGATCATATGCCACCGCATCCCTTATCTAATCTTCCAGGAACGCTATTCCTGTGGCTGTATTGGCCCAGCTTCAACGCGGTCGACCTCACAGGTGCCGAACAGCAGCGCGCCATCATCAACACCTACCTCAGTCTCGCAGCATGTTGCGTCCTGTCGTTTGCCTGCTCGATCCTCACAGATAACGATAAGAAACTGGACATGATGCATGTGCAAAATGCCACGTTGGCAGGAGGAGTCGCCATAGGCGCTGTTGCAGGTATCCTCAAGCAGCCCTGGGTTGCTGTCGTGATCGGAAGTTTGGCTGGGATCATTTCCGTTTTGGGATATGCTAAATTAATGGTATGTAACGTGTTACATGTATATAGAGTGTTTTCTTTGCAACGAAAATTTAACCTTCCACGGATTTATCGAGAACGGTTATATCACAGCTAAGTGAACCGCAGTGAAATATATGCATATACCCGCTATAGCTTCTTTTATTTCAATATTAATTACCGAGTAAGCCAACATGCCTATCGCTAGCATAGACCAACCATGCTTCAGGTGAAACGTGAACTTTTTCTAGAGCTCGCGGTGGAATAAAACATCCATACATATACATATTTTAGCCAAATTGAATTTTGCGCTCTTTTATCCATAAAGAAACACTTTTCATCGTCGAGGGATAAAACGTAGGAAAACATTTTTAATGTAAATAGAGAGTTTTATACCGAGAGAAAAGCAACATAGGCGTGCTTACCTTTAAATGACTTCGAAGAAGAAGGGATTCTATTTTACAGCGATGATCTATTTAACTGAAACTCATCTCTGACATTGGAATTTAAAGCTATCAAGTTGTATGAGCAAACACAATTTCCAGGCTTACAGGTGGTATATTATTATATATTTTATGTGAAATAGAAACTGGAGTACATGAAATTGTAACTTTTGGGTACCAATGGTGTTATACAGGGTGACTTTGAAGTTGAGTCATTAATTTTCAGATAATGATTGTAGAAGGAAGATAAACCAAAATATCTGTGTAAAAATAAAAAAAAATAAAAAAAAAAATGTTACCTTGTTTTATAAAGTATCCTCCCGACAAGTATTTCAGTGCGGACCTGTATTTGATCGTGCGGTCTTGGAGCACCGGCATGCGCTCCCCTGTGAGGTCTTAAGTCACCTGATTTACGAGCCCTTTATACTACATTAACAAAGGCACGAGGGGTTGGTTGCACTCGATTGGGAAACCGATCCGCATAAATCCGTGATGCCGCGTAAATAAGAATCATGTCCACAAGTTCAGCATTTTCGTCCGCATAAACATGTGCCATTTTTGATTTCGTTTGAGCCACGCAACAGACACCACTATTCACTCACGCGTTACCGACTGACACTGACTGTATACAACTGAATAAAATAACTGTAAAAACATCGTTCCAAATTCTTTCGCTTTTTTGTTTCCGATGCGATGAACCGATAAGGCGGATTATATCCGTTGTCGCCAAACACGAGCACATAATATTATTATTGAGACAGGGCGGTACTCAAACTTCCAAAGGGCTATAACTTTGTTACTTTAATTTTACCAGAAAAATGGTAAAGGAAAAAAACATTTCTTTTGATCAGATCTACTCACTGTTAAAATAAATGACTCAACTTCGAAGTCACCCTTTATGTATGTTGGATTGAATATTAAGCCCAATTATAATTTACACATTTACTACAGATCTCCAACTGGAGATATAAACTGATCTTAGATTATTTAAAATTAATCGTCTCAAGAAGATTATATTGAAATTAAAATCAAATCAAAATAAGAGTGAGTGAAAGAGTGCTTAATGAATGTTTTGATATTATTGGAGCAAGAATCCTGATAAATTACTGTTTGAAATGTGTCGAATTTATTTGCAACAAAGCTGAAGTGATCTACCATAACTGCTGATTCGAATGTTAAGAATCCTGAGTTGTACACCAATATGCGACTATGCGACCAATAAATGTTCTGCCAGATGTTGAAAGCAAAAAAAGCCATGGCCAAAATCAGAGGCAAACTGTACGTTTTGGCACTTGTTGGTAACGCGACGATGGTTTCTCGCAGATATTTGAAATTCTTAAAATTCGTAGAATTTGTACTTCCAAATAACCACAAGAAAATTGGAGTAGATTAGCAAAGTGCTTTCTGGGAACTTCTAATTGTTGATCCCAAAACACCTGTTTTTGGCCATCCCTACTAGTTTTCTCATTCTTTGTTGTCGAATAAAAAGTTTTCCCACTAAAATCGTCCATATTTCAAATACCCCCTTGACCAACTTGCACCAATAAAACCAGACTTTACAATTATTTCGGGGAAATTTGCTAATATGATTAGACCACTTGTGCCTTCCACTTTCATTTTACGAGATTCAGAAATCTGATTTTTTCAAACATTATTTATTCTGAACTGAAAGAGCCAAATAAATATTTTCTTGGTTGTATATTAATTTTGTGAAAGGTTTTTAACGACTTTCTGGCACCTCTCCTAATTTCGCGTGAGATTTTTCAAAGGAATCGGTACATTCTTTATGGCAAATGGTTCCCAGTCAAATTGGCTGAAATTTTAGTAACTTGTTCTCCTTACCAATCTGATCAAACGTTTCCAATAGCGTTTATTACCGATATCAACCGCTTCCGAGTTCCAGAGTGTTATTTAATACACTTTTTGGAGAAACTTAGATTTGTATCGTACTCAATTAAATACCTTGCGAATGAATGTGTTATCTTCTTTCTATTGTTAGTGTAAATGCCAAGAAAAAATCCAGCCTTGAGATAATGTTCTGTCTCATTTAACTGCTCCGAGGAAAAAATCAAAGCATTCTATATTCTATAACAACTTGGCGGTAAGCGCCCAATTTCCAATTGCCTCTATCTGCTCTGATTGTATCCACCAATGTAAAACGAGGTATACTTTTTCGAACTTACGAACTTCAACTGTACGCTCAAATTCAAATTAACCGCTGCCGAATGCCGCTCTGCCTGATATTTGTTTTACGCATTACGGAGCACTATCATTCTATGCAAACATTACCGAATGCGAATTGAATTAACTCCTAGGCGGCTTAAATAAATTACAAAAGTCAGAAAAGTTGTGTTGATGTGCGCATAATGTATTCATGAATGGAAATGCGAACATGTGTAGGTGTACAAGTATTGCAGAGGAGCGAGCTAACAACTAGTATATCGGGAACCTAAAACGCTACTAATTCCTCCTTATACGAGTACATGTATCGGCGAAAATCAATAGCTTTCGAGATATTTCAATTATTGTGGTTTTTTATCAATCACCAGGAAATTGGACTACACACTGAAGTTCGTGTGTATAAACGGGTATACATCATTAGTCGTTATTCCATCATAGGGAGATCCTCAGGTTCCATTATTATTCTTAATGTATATAAATGATATCGCACAATGTTTCAGCCATTGAGAGTTGACTTAAAGTTGTATCGTATAGATGAAAGCCCTCAAAACTGCGGCAAAATATAATCTGATATCGACAAAGTCAACGATTTTCAGTGAAATGACCTGCCACTTAACACTAAAAAATGCTTTTCAACAACATTCACGAGAAAAGAAACTTATTCCAGTACGCGTATCAGATGGAGAATGTCAATATTAATTATGTGAGATTAGGCTGCTACACTAGATACGAAATGGATCTTTAATAGCTATACAGGGTGGCGCATCGAAAACAAAACAGACGAATTTACTGGGAACTCAGTTTTTTTTTGGAAAAACGCTTAGACCCGTCGATTTTGTTTTCAAGGGGGACACAAGTTAACACGTGCAGCCCCCTGGGCGGGGGTGACACCAACCCTAGAATCTTAAATGGAAAGGGGGGGTCGAGTCATCCCTTATTTTAAAGGTCTTTCAATTCTCTTTATAATTATGTAAAATACATGAGCTTCAGTTCCTTTTATCTTCATTTTCACATGCGGAGTCACAGAGAGCAAGATCTGGGCTGTAAGGAGGGTGCTCGATAAGTTTCAGTCCAGTAGTGGTCAAATACTCGGTGCTCTAAATCAACAGACGTGGTGCTGGCGGCTACTATGCACTCATGGACACGTCTCAACATGCAGTAACATGCAGTCCTATGCGTCCGTTTGTTAAGTCATATTTGCAAAACTTTAATAGTACCCTTTGTACATTGTCAAGTTATGAATTGGGAAAGAGTAGCATAGCTCTTCGTACGCCACTGTTAACGCGGTATATCATGGTGGAGGTGTGCGTGACTTTGGGGTGAACCACATCTTATATAGATGTACAAAAATGAGCGATCCAAGTTGCACATACCTCTTACATTTTCTGGCGCAACACTGTATTAGCGCGGAAGATCGTCTGAAAAGCATGATTGATCCTAGAAGCTAATGCCGGGACAATAAATTGTAGATAAAAATAACCACATTCTATAGGGGCAGCCAGCTTGGTTAGATTCTCTCAAGTGGTGACAGGCTATTGCTGTCGATGAGGTGTAGGCTCAAATTTCCAATACGATATGATTTTGAAGGCAGATTATTTCTTTATTTGTAAAATAACTCCAGACTTGTGAAAATATGTCTTTCAAATTTCAAAATTAGAGGAGAAGCAGGTTGTGTGATTAATTTGGATATGGTAGGTCGGATATTTGGTATTAAATAGACCAGCCGTAAGTGATAGGCTACCGAAGCCATAAATTGTGATCTCTAAAGAACCCGATGACTTCTCAGTTTCAGACTCATCGCCAAAAACTGTTTTAACGACGAAGTGACGCTTCTCTTCTATAATTCATATTATTTCTACACTACCTAGCTGCTTTTTCAGGCAGCTTAGGAGCTAATACAACGAAAAGTGTAAGAGGTATGTGCAACTTGGATCGCTCATTTTTGTACAGTGACAGCACGTAGATTATTGGCGTGCGATACGTCACGCTAGTCTTTTCCAATTCGCTGTTTGACCATAAAACGCCAAATATGGATTATCTTTAATATCCAGCCCATCTTGGAGACAAACTTTCGCCTCTACGACACCTGCGGCGTCCACAACCTTCACGGAATGCCAGGCCTTCTTGCGAGCGTAGCCAGTGCAGTGATAGTAGGCGTAACTTCAGAAACAGGACCGCCTGACAGTTTGTATCAGGATCTACCTGGGATGAATTCATCTAGTGATAGCCGCGCCTTAAAAGCCAATCTGTCAGTTTTTGGAGCTAGAAAAGCAGGAGAGCAGGCTGGATATCAAATAGCTGCACTGACACTCACAATGACCATGGCTGTCATAGGAGGAGCTATTACAGGTAAGCTTTATACAGGGTAGCTCAAGAAAAGGTCGCACCTGCTGGTATATTTTGGGGAAAACGCTCGGACACGTCTATTTTATTTGTAGGGGGATGATTTTCCATGAAGTTTTTAGTAACTTTTGTACAATAAAGTTTACGCCTATCTTCAATCGTTGTGATGCTTTCTGAGCTCATAATAAAATACGACTAACTTGATACTGATATTAATGGAATGCACGGAGAAAAATGATAATCGTGGATACCAGCAAGAACGTTCAGCATCAGTTAGTGTCATCGTATGTCATAGAAAAACGTTGTCTTTTATTTCAAATAGTTGAGTTGCCTACCTAGTTAAGTACAATGTTAAGCTGTACTTAGTCATCTTTTGCAATAGAATACCGTAATTCAAGGCAGAAAATTAATTGAGCATAATTAATTTGAGAAACGCGGATGTGAAAAGAACAGTACTAACATAGGACGGTGACTATCACCAGGTAAAAGAATATCAGATGCTTTTTAACACATGAATCAAATTATTATTAGTCCAGTATACGATCATATTCATTACATATATTAAAATTTTATTTATGTACATAAGTGGGAATGTCGAAATCTCCATTAATCAAAAGATCAAGATTTGCAGTAAAAAAGAACTTGTTTAGAAAAACCGCAAGCAATTAGCTGTAGTATTTAAGTGAAGTGAAGTAATCGCCTTTTATACATTTCTAGAGCTGGGTGAAGCTTTGTTTCCCGAAATCAACGTAGTGAAGGTGTGAAGCAGGAACTAAATGAAAATCGGACTTGTAGCACATATCACTTTACTATCGAATGAATACTCCATACGTACATAAAAATCTACTCCAAAAATATTTCATTGTAAGGAATGTGTGTGAACAGTCCGTTGGCGATGTGCTTGCATACTTCACTGTAGGCTCCCTCTATCCCACTTCTGACATCGTCAAAGACCTCCTTCCAGTTCTCATTAATGACCGTCAATATGTTGTCGGCGAGCAATTTGTCGCCATCAAAGAGGTTCTGGAAATCGTAGTGAGCTCCGTTGATGTTTATTTTTAATGTATAGCTGTCTACGATGAGATATTTCTTGCCGCCCTTAGTTTCTTCCTTGAACTTTACTGCGTGCTCCATAGTGACGTCACCTAGTGTTTGAAGAAGACGTCAAGTAAGAAGTATGGTAGGTCAAAATAAAGTTAAGGTAAAAGCATAGTGGGGAAGCAGAGTTGCCAAAGGGCAGAGGACAAAATTGACACGGCTTATTATTTTTTTCCTTATACATATATTACAAAATGCTATACCCTTTATGAAAGGTCTGCAACATGCATTCATCATACTTTGGATACGACTTTTTGTTCTAATATCTAAATACGGATAAAAAACCACTGAGCAATATGATATTTTTGAAAACAGGAAAAATTCACACAATTGGTTTCTCGCAGATTTATGTAATATTGACTTATTTGCAAATAAACCTCTGAGAAAAGCGTAGCACTGAGAATTTAGATTATTTAGGTGTTCAACAAATGTCCAGTCATCATCCAATATAGAACCTAGATTCTTCGAATGATCCTCTGGTACTATTTCATTACCTTTTACATGTATGTTTATGTCCTTTTTGAAAGCACTCTTTTTTGTTGTTTACGTTTTGTTATTTGCGTTTACCAACATATTTGTCTTTAAAGGGGGGTTCAAACGAAGATTATGACTACTACCAACCTTTTCAATTTGGGCAAGATCTTGATTAATTTTATTATTAGCTGTTTCCAAGTCATTACTCCTAAATGAACAGAAAATCTGAGTATCGTCGGCAAGAAATTGTATGCTGCATGATTTTACCTCTGTTTCTAAATCTGAGATATATAATGAAAATTACAGGGGTCCTAACACTGATCCCTGTACTACACCAGAGCAAAATTTTTGTGCGCTAGAGTACTGTTGATTTAGACGAACTTTTTGTAACCGATTTTCAAGGTAGGTTTGAATAAACGAAAGAGGCTTTTGAGAAAATCCATAACAACTGCATTTAGACACAAAAAGTGGATGGTTAATTGTATGAAAGTCAAGAAGTATGAGAGCTACTGCCTTTTCTCAAAAATTGAAATAAATTCCTCATTTGTTTTTTACGGATCTGATAAACTCACGGGAATTGTAGAATCTTTCTGAAATTGCTCTTTGAAAGTCTTTAAGTTTTTATAAAGCTTTTTCTATATCCTGATTTTGAACAGCTTATACCTTTCCACACGAGTGTTAATGCAATATCTTCATACAAGGCTTGCAGTATCTGGTTTTGCCATTTTCACCTTGGAACCAGCTAATTTATAAAAATCAAATTACGAATAGTCTTACTTAAACTTTTGAAAATACTCGAACTGTGAAAAAAGTGATTGAATCGCCAATGGAAGCAAAAATATTCTTCGCCAAGTTGAAGATCATATCGCCTTGGTATATCAAATCAAAATTTCTCCTTACCGCGATTCTTATTACCATTGGTACTAAGACCGCCGTTGCATAGAAAAATTTCCAAGATCATAAATTGAGAATCTGACATAGCCCCCAACTTTGCTAAGAAAAACTGAATTCCTTTGCGCCCCCGGTAGGAGTGGATAAGTAAAATCAATATAGCGGTCGAACCTTGTACATGTTCTCAAAGAGTTGGTCAAGAACCTGCCTAATACCGCAACTCGATATCTCTTTCCGTTTCGAAAATATCGAGATTTGAATTTGGGTAAAATTTTCCATGTTGCAAAGCAACTGTCTACCAGTTTATATCACTAGAGCAGAGTACAAGTACATCCAAAGATAAGATCTAAAGTTCCTTCAAAACGACGGCTCCACTCCTCTGACGTGCTACTTACGGTTTTCAAAACATACTGACAACAGCTTATTTTCAAAGTAGTATGGATTCAGGCTTTCACGTATATGGACTTTAGTTCAGGTATTCAAAACCAAAAGAATCAATTATTCAGTTTCAGTACTTACTTAATTTGATCGTTGATTCTCCCTTTCCGTATACTGGAAACACCATTATTTTGCCGTTGAGATCATAATCCGCCTTCTGCGTTACTAGAGGGCTGAGGGTTTCGTACTCCAACGTCTTCTTAGCCCAGTCCATACTATCAATTGTAAACCATTATATACTCGTATGTTTGAAATGAATAAGATTAATATTAAAATACAAGGCAATAAGTATGGGCTTGCACCGATATCACACCATTGCATGTTTTGAATTAAAAAATTAGGGATATTACAGTTTTCATTTATATACAGGATGTTTTCAAAGTTGAGTCATTTATCTTAATTTCATGTATGACTCGTCAAAGGAAGCTGATATACCAAAAATCACCTATATAAGAGTTGCATAACAAGAAATTTAGTTATTTAAAAAAATTGGAATACATCTGTCATACAGAGAAAGTGCCTAAACCAGGGTCCAACGGCTGGTTCAACAAATCGTGTGACACTGCCCGCCAACAGAAGATCAAGGCACATGGAACCTTCTTACAAAATCCCACTGAAGAGAACCGACAAGACGACGTCGAGTCCAGAAACAAATATAACGAAGGGGTTCGCAATGCCAAGAACCAGCTCGATATAAAAGTTAGGCACAGGGTAATGTCGCAGCGCAATGGCAGTCGATCTTTCTGGACGCTGGCCAAGCAGATTGATAAGAACTTCTCACACAGTAGCCTTCTACTACTTACGTGTCAGGATGGAACTATTATATTCGACTCAAAGGCCAAGGCAGAAGTGCTAGTTAATATCTTTGCTGCCGCCACCCAGAAAGCTGGAAATTTGCTCATGTCCAACTCATCAGTAAAAAAAAAGGATCTAAGACCCGCCTGACTTTGGCCTCCCATCCTAACCGTGTCAAACTTCGTACATCCAGAACTGGCCGATACAACTGCTCCTTTGTTCCGAGGGGGAGTTTTAATAACCTTAGACAGTTCAAAAATCGGATTAACAAAGTTTCTTCAGGATCGTTATAGCAGCCGCGGTGTTCCGGTTTAGGCTTCTACTTGCGCGGCGGCTTCGGTAAAAAAAAAGAGAAAATGTTGAGTTACAATACAAGGCAATGAGTACAGGATTGGTGTTGATTAAAGACTCTATTCATCTGCGTAAAAATCCAATATGGCCTCCTCAAGAAAAAATAAAGTTGATGCTGGGGGTCAAGAGACGTAACGCCAATTTTGATTATGCCATATTGGAGAGGAGAAAAAGTGGCAATAATTTTGGGATTAATCTGAGGTTGTGCCTAATTTTTGCACCGTATTAGTCTCTGGCTTTGCAAACAGCTTCGTTAGATTTTTTCGGTGTCGAAGAGCGGTCCGTGTAGCACGATTTGTTGAACCAGCCGTTAGATCCTGGTTTAGGCACTTTCAATGTATTATGAATGTAATCCTTCATCACAACGTAGATACTATTTTTATAAATAACTTCTTTAAGCATCTTTTATAACAACAGAGCATATTGCAAGGTAGAAACTCGCCGTGTAGGTACTGGAATTACTAATCTCAGCATGATAAAATATAGCAAGAGTCGTCACATTATTTGTAGTTGTGTGGTAATACAAATAAATTCATTTATTTCTGTAAAATCCTAACTCCCAAATATGTAGCAATTGATATAACAATGACACCGACGTTAATCATGTTATGCATTCAATTGTAATTGCAATCCTGCTATCAAATATCAATTCGTCTCATTATGATGACATGTTTGTACGTTTCTACGTGGTTTAGATGTATGTACCAACATTTATTGCGAGTTTTAATTAGGAAACTGATCCCACGTTCTATTTAATGCATTTCAGAGTTATTATTTTAGCGATTTACACTAATTTGTAATGCACCTATGGCCACTATACGAAACATATACATATATTGTGGGAAAAGTGCTTATTCCATTATTGTACAGAATTTATAGTGACGGCGTTCTATAACGCAGAAAGAAAACCTGCGCCGAAATTGGAGAATAATATTCATTTGTTAGCCAGAAATGTTTGAGTATACCATATTAATTATATAAATCCGAACACCCAGTTTAAATGGTTTTATTTTAATAAAATTTTGTATAAGTACTTAATGAAGCATAATAAATAAATGATAAAAATTTCGAAATGATTGCACTGCTTTAAAGCCCTTTGACCTTTGATAATGTGTGGATGCACCCTGATGTGCTACGCATTCTCCAACGCGCCTAGGCATGCTTCTGATCAGGTGGTCAATGTCCTCCTGTGGTATCTCATTCCAGGCAACCACCAACTCCTCTCGAAGTGCTTCTAGAGTCTGAGGAGGACGTTGCAAATTGAGCAATCTCCTACCCATCATATCCCACACGTGCTCAATTGGGGATAAGTCGGGTGATCTTGGTGGCCATTGTAACAATGTGACATCATTATATTGAAAGCCTATTGTGACTCTTGCAACATGTGGTCGGGCATTATCTTGTTGGAAAGTTGGATCTGCCAGGGTGTCAAGATGGGGTAAAAGATGGGGTTCTAGAACTTCGTGGATATAACGCTGCGCGTTCATGTTACCTCTGATGAAGATTAAAGGTAACCTGGAACCATAAGCTATAGCACCCCAAACCATAACTCCAACAGTGTGATGAACATGTCTTTCAACAAAAAACTGTGGATTCCTCCTTTCACCACGTCGCCTTCTAACCCTGGCACGACCATCGTGCATGCCTAAACAAAATCGAGACCCGTCACTAAAGACAATACTGTCCATACCTGATCCCAGAGTCACCGTTGTCTGCACCACTCAAGGCGATTACGTCGGTGTTCTCGAGTTAAGGAGAGGACCCAGTGTGGCCGGTATGAAAACAAGCCAAAACGTCTCATTCTGCAAACCATTCATTTGCAATGGACCTGGTAGTGGAGAAACGGTCCCTTAAGGCCAATAATCTTAGGCGGCGATCTTCACGGTATGTTGTTCTACGGCGGCGTCCAGTGCCCCTTGCTCTTTGCGTACGGCCTTCTCGAAGCCATGCCTGACAACACCTAACCACGGTGTCTACACTTCTTTGCACTCTAACTGCAATTACCCGAAAAGGAAGTCCAGCTTCCCGAAGTCCCACTATACGGCCCCTATCAAACTCACTAAGTTGACGAAATCGTACAGGTCTCCGTACTCTAGGCATCGTAACCGATCGTAAAGGATGTCAAGAACCAAAATCCGCCAACGTTGATTCTTTACTGCGGCTGAAATATTCATTTTCAGAGCGTTAGTGAATTAAAAAAAGCAGTATAAAAACCGGAATGTCCAACTGATAAGGGTGAACATTTTTTCACTTGTTATTTACAGTAAGATAAATACATTCACCAACTTTTATTAAAATAAAACCATTTAAACTGGGTGTTCGGATTTATATGTCACTTAGTATATTTCAGTTATAAGCTGATTTGTTCATATCACAAAATACAGTTTTGATAAGCAACCAAAAAACGTTATTTGCTTGTCTAGCACTTTTAAAGATGGAAATTGGAAAGTTGTCACTATTGGAAAAATCCGTAATTTTAGTCACGTTAACGATTTCAGGATATTTTTCCAGAGATAACATTTATCCAGGCGAGACAATACGACTACCTACGTATTAAAAATGGTTTGCTATTTCGACACGCCATGACAACATACAAAAATTGAAGGGCAATCCGTTCGACAACTGATTATCGCTATTTTTTCATGCAGTTGAATACGGTCATTTTGCGTTAATAGCCTATTCGGATACTAACTGCGTGTGAGACACTAAAGCTTTAATGAACAGTTTCGATATACTAGCGTGCATTTAATATGTTTTGCTTTATGAGTTATGGTCGTTTCATGATTGAATGTAATCAGTTTAAAGCGTGTTTTCCAGTAAACGCATTAGTATTTATTTTTATTAACAGCCAATATTAAGAACAAATTAATTCTTCAAGACAATGTCAACGCCGAAATAGGAGGTGTCGATGGACATCAGTACAAAGGACAATGGGTCTTTAGCGATGAACGATTCTTTATTCAACAGATTACGTTTTGCTCATGGGCGCCGCCAAGGGAGGCTGTGCATCTGTGACTACCCTTTCACCATCAGTAACTATGAGGCTTACTCAATTGAAACTCATTCTTGGTCAGGTTTTACTTATTCAAATGGTGTCGAAAATTTAAGAGTGGAAGAGAGGAGATGAATGATAAGCCGCGACCAGGTGCATTCAGTACTGCATCAACAGACAGGAATGTTGCATTTGTGGGATGCATGCTTAGAGCAAATTGTCGAATTTCGATCAGACCAATTTCAGAGTGACTGTAGGATCCGTCCATAGTATCAGAGGACCAAAAAAGCTTTGCAACATCTCACGGAATACAAGCAAAACGGTAACAACTTTCTTTCGTCAATAATTGCCTTCTACAGGCAAGGTCATGTCAACAATTTTTTTTTCGACCATGGAAAACCCTTCATCATAAAGCTTAAAGATCCTAGAGTCCATATCAACACAAACATATTTAATGAAACTTTGAACAATGTCCAGCTAGAACTACAAAGTGCAGTAAAGGAGTTCTTCATGCAGTAGCCACAAGAGTCCCTTAAGCAGGGTATACATCGATTTGTAAAACAACGGGATATATGCCTTGATTGTGGTGGTAATTAGTTGTAGATATATTTGCCAATAATTTTTTCCTGGACCAAAGATGGGTTTCAATTGAAGCCTCGTGGATTAACCAATTAGAAGAATCATCTGTACTTACTGGACCTTGGACACCTTCGATTTTGAGAAGCCATGAAGCTTGACGTTCTCATAGTGTTGATCCAAATGCACTGCCGATGTTCCGGCTCCAATCACTACCTTATCGATAAGAATAGGCTCTATCCCCACAAGACTGATAGCATTTATGGCTGAAATTGGAAAACATCGATATAACAGAGTAAATAGACAGCAGTTGTTTATTATTCAGTGGGTATCCCCTGTAGTATGGTAAGGTCATACTGTATAATATACAGGGTGTCCGCAAAGTTGGGGTTTTCCTTTACACGACGTGTAGATCTTGAAAACATGAACAATTTTTCTTAGTACCATATACACCAATGTCTTAAGGGAACCGAGATAAAGGGCTCTGCAACATCAAAAATATCTGAATACCGTCCTGTAGCCGCGACCCGCCGCGATATCCCCGACTGGTACAAGGTCTCAACCCGACGGCAGAACTGGGTCGGGGGTCGGGGTCAGTGTGTCAGGTTAGTATGCAACCTTCAACCGACGGTTACGGTCACGCGTGTAGAGGTAAACGAACTCGTATAATCGATTGCGTTTCAAAAAACAACAAGCACTAGAGACGTGGCTAGAGAACTGCAAGTATCAAAAACTAAAGTGTGGCAAACGCTGCGTGAAGAGGGGCTGTATCCGTTTCACGTCCAACGTGTACAAGCCCTTCAACCTGACGATTTTCCAGCAAGAGTGCGGTTTTGTGAGTGGTTGTTGCAACAACATGACAATAATCCGGACTTTTATAAGTGCATATTGGTGACAGACGAATCTACGTTCACGCGTAATGGGGTGAATGACTTTCGCAACACTCATGTTTGGTCATTTTCAACAAACATTTTCGGTGAATGTTTGGGCTGGCATGGTGAACGGTATGCTCATTGGACCATTTATTCTCCCAAATCGATTGGACGGGATGCAATACTTAGACTTTTCACGCAACATTTTGTCTTCCTTGTTAGAAGATGTGCCATTAAGTGTAAGACAATCAATGTGGTTTCTGCGTCTGCTCGGTAGCGCTTCAGCTAATTTCATTTTCTGTTGGAGCGGTATGATTTCGGGCAGAGACGTACTTAGCCCTTCTCGTCAACTGGAGAGTGACTACTTTTTCCTTTATTTTTTTTACTCGGTCGCCCTCGTTTCACTACACATTACCTTTGTTATTTCAAGGGTAGTTGTTTCTGAAAAGGAAAACCCCAACTTTGCGGACACCCTGTATTGTTATTAGAAGCTTGTTAGGTATTGCAAGCAGTACCTATCAACATACATTTTTAGGCTGAATAAAGTTAATCATCCTGAAATCAAGTTGTGTTGCTAAGGGCGCAGATGCTCGAAATAGATAAATCTATTACACCCCGACTAAACAACGCAAAAATTGAACACTACCTACAATGACTCTACAATCATATCGGTCGACAAAAAATTCATTTTTCCAAGACCACAAAAAGCAACCAAATCTCCGAATTATACTTTTGAACGAATCAACTCACGTTTTTTTCATGAATTATGTCGTTGTTACCAGTAGTGTCAGGGATCCTCATCATTTGCTAACAGTTACAAATTTTGTAGGTTATAAACACAACTGTGTATGTATTTGTTGTTAAAGCAATTGAACATGCACAGTAGGATGTCCCAGCCTATGAGGGTAAACAAATTTTATTTCGAATCGAAATAGATACACCCTCTATTTTTTTACATTTGATTCTAACAACTCAATAAATAAATATTATTGCGGTCGGGGAACGATAACTCGTGCCGACTTTTGGTCAAACTTTAAATTTGAAAGTTAGTAGGGAAACCAAGTATGGATTTCAGCACCTAATTTTTATTCGACAAATAAAACACTGCTTTATTTGTATCTTATATTTCTTAGATATTTATAAAAGAGCATTATTCACGAAATTTTCTTTTCGAGTAAGGATATCAACATTCCCAAACTTCCCTGAAACTTTACGGATAAAACTACCAAACGATTGGACGTTCAATAATGGAATCAGTATGAAATGTTATGAAAAGTTGCAGTTGGCCTTATGATGGATCTGTCAAGAACACACGTGAACGATTGGGTAACCGCTGATGCAGTTATTATATATGTATATTCAGCGTTAGAGGGTTTGGCCGTCAGCCGTTGCTGCAAATGGCAACAAATGGGGCGTATGAAGAGTGGCAGGAAATTTGAAAAGGTGACGTTGAGCTTTCCCGTGTAGCATTTTTATGAGAGCGCTACGGGTAGGTAATTAGTAAACGTACAAACTGTATGACAACGAGGCATTGCTGCAGATTTTAAATACTTTTATTTGGTGGAACATTATACGTTCGGGTAGCACAAAATTCCTCAAGAAGCGTGACGCATTTCGGCTTGTTGGTCATCCTCATATCTCAACTGAAACGAACTAGATCCCAGCTAATTCAAGCGAACTACGTCGACTACCTATTTGTTCAAATATGGTGGAAAAATCTAGTTTTGAAAAATGATGAGACTATACCCTAGACAACGACCACAATTCAGTTTTCCAGGCTAAACAGAAAGCAGTCCATTCGAAATGCACAATGAAAACATTAAAAAATCGTGAAAAATATCGAGTAAATGTACTTAAATGTTTGCTCTCTTGTTAAGTCTAGCCTGCTCGCATGCAGGCTACATTATTCAGTTGGTACGGTATTCGACTAGACATCTGTTCATCGTTGCATGATGTACAGCGCTTCATAATCAGAAGTGTATGGAAGCTGAATACATGGCACATATCTATTTAGGGCAGCAACAGCCATCGGCGATACAGCTGCGGCAATTTTAATGTCAATTTATTTTGCAAATTGGACTTGTGCTATGATGAATATTGTTTCCATCGCAATACGGCATATATCCGTAATTTCTCTGGTAACGAGCGCACAACTGATATAAATACTACAGTCGGCAGCAAAAATAACTGCAAGGCGTTCTCTCTGTTAGAGGGGAAAATGGATACCATGCAATTCAATAATGATGTATAATTTATATTTTTTCAATACTAAAGCAGCCGCACAGGCAGAAGCCTAAATGCCAGGACACCGCGGCTCCTTTGAGGATCCCAAAGAAATTTTGATTATCCGATTTTTGAACTGCCTAAAAGCTCCCAAAGAAATTTAGTTTATCCGATTTTTGAACTGAATTAGGTTAATAGAACTGGGAAAAGCTTCCTCTTGTAGACTGTTCCACAATCTCGACACCCTCGGGACAAAGGATCGGTCGTATCGGTCAGTTCTGGATGTACGAAGTTTGACACAGCTAGGATGGAAGGCCACAGTCAGACGGGTCAGGGTGTTATCGGAGCACTTTTTAAAAAAATCGACAAGTTCAATAAAAAAGTAAGCCCACCATAAATGTTGTGTAAAAACAAAATTTTAAAAAGTGCTCCGATAACACCCTAGATACTTTGACCCTGATTAATTGTCTTCTGAACATATTATATGAATTTCATTCAAAAATATTGAAAAGTGGCGTGTCAATTTCGAAGCAGCTGAACCCTTGTAAATGACATGAAACTGACTGCGTCTGAGCCGCGGTGCAGAAAAGCATGGCGGGACGATTGGATTGCAAGTAGTGATATACAGCATGAATGTTGATGTTAATCCAGCAGATGTTCGTGAAACAAATTTTATCTTCGATGTCGTTCCCTCGAATCCACCCTCTACCCGGAAATTTCAAGAGTAGAGTGAGTTTACGTCCGGAATTCTAAGTACTCGAGCGACCCATCATCATCATTTTCTTTGTTTTGGAAGATAACCGACTGCGTAGCTTAGGTGTAGAAGTTTGCGAACATTTTTAAGACACCCTGGGAAAAGTTAGCGGTTGGTACCTCCACGGTCGATTGGCCCCTGTCTATCACCTTCATTTTTTATGCTAAATAGACCTCTACGCTCTACACTATACAGAAACCGCGCATCGACGCACTTGGTAACCTAAAACGTATATAGCAGTATAATCATGCGGTATGGGCTTAGAAGCCCTACAGTCCTGCCCCAATACCAGAAAAATGCGACAGAAACGAAGGTGTCGGGTATAACAAACGAGAACAGCAACAGCCTTTCTCCCCGTGCGCATTAAAACATAATTTTTAGGGACGGCCGGGATAATTAAAACGTATGTTTCATTTGCATATCCAGCAGTTATGGGCACAGCGGGTGTTCACTCCAAAGGTTTTATCTTTATAAATGTGTCGAGATAACCCTGTGACTTGTGGAACGAAATTAATAGGCTGCCCACCACCGCCGAAACCCACATTATGTCGGCATTTCTTTCCAACAGACGTGAAACTTTGGCAGTTACAGAATTAGTAAGAGAACGTATAATACTTGCCTTAACCTGTTAGGGTTGAAAAAAATTTGCTCAGGAAATTAAAGCACATTTTAGACTCGTTTCGACAAGTGTCTACGGTTCAAGACCAAACTTCCACAAAACGATTGTTGGTCATTTTCCCAGATTTATTATTACTTCTGATGCCAATTTGCGACTATCCGCTTCTTCAGAACATTATGTGAAAGAGCAGAAGTCGGCCTTGAAATAACCTCTACATATAATTTCAGCCCCTGTGATATTCATACCGTTGCCAAGGAAAATTTTTTGGCTTTCTGCTTTTGCAATAAAAATGGGAGTTCTCTTTACAAAAAATCAACTTGCCCTTGAATTGAACTTCAAGGTAAATGGCAACGTGAAAACCAAGGTCACCAGTGGATTCGCCATTTAATTTCCTAGAACTTTAGTATTTAAAGTTTTTTCTAGCACTCTTTGTTTCCGACATATTTGAGACGCCCTGTATAAAGTTTAATTCAAAAGAAATCAATTGGAGTGTTCTATTTTCTTCATCACTGAGTATATTTCAGTACTTTTCCTAAGAACGTACTTCCAAGTATTCTAGAAAAACGGTCGTTTTGAAACTATTAAAACTTGTTTGTACATTGCATGGTTTTTTGTTTGGGCATGAAAATTGGGACTCACATGCAGCCTGAAACTAGAGAGAGCTAAAGTTTGAGCAAAGAGTAGTTATACCAAGAGAAGCGCGAATGAATTAAAGAGAGAGATTCGAGATATAATCCAAAACGTGGGATCCAAAAAACAGTTAATGTCGTCTAAACACGTGCTGTTTTTGTCACGTGTGAAAGCAATTTTCATTCAAATTTTCTTCTTTGGACATTTATTCATGATAGTGATAGGTATGTATAATCCATTTGCAGCCAGTGAAATATGTTTTCAATTCAATAACCTTATATATCTCACATTTTGCGAGTCATATAGACAGCAGTTATCGCACATTCTTGATATTAATTTTTTGCTAACCTCAAATTGATTATTTGACCAATCGTCGTAGACAGCCTGGCCTTGAGAGGATATGTTTACTTATTTCGTATGACTTTTTGACATAATCACCAAAAATCATGAGAAGAACTGAACGCCATTCAGCTCAGTCAAAATATAGCGTTTTTTAAACATTTTGTCAGTTCGCAACACCGCCACATTTCATGTTACCTATAAGCGAAACCGCAGATGCTTGACAGAATGTTGAGCCATCTATAAGCTCATAACTGTTTATTTTGTAAACCAATAATAGTCCAATAGCCGACAGCAAAGTTTTGGTTATATCGCGTGCTGACGTGATACGAGGGCGGTCTGATACTTAACGAAAATTTTGGAAAAGTGGCGATTTATTTCTCAACATGGTCTCCTTTTAGTCAAATCTAGTCAAAGTACCATAATTTTGACTAGTTTTTACCGCATCCTGTCAGTAGGTATAATAAAAAATTTGTGTCGGCTCCCCTGCTATATAACTAAATGTCTTCTCTTTGGTACTACTATAACCGGAAAGAGCCGAATAACAAAACCATCACGTGCAAATTCTCAAAGTAAATTACAAAATAAGTATATACTTACGTCCTTTGCCTAGGAGTTCATAGGTTTTCTGGATCCCTTCTGTTAAACAATCGTCCAGATTTGAATCTTTCAAATGACATCGCTTGATACTCCCAGCTGTAACATTTTTTTAATTCGAACGGTTACTTCCTCAAACATTTATATGAACAGAATAACAAATAAATGAAATAAACTTTAAAACGAAACATTTCTATAGGCATTACATTTTCTTCATAGGACCCCTCAAAAACCTTATTTGAATTCTGACGAGCTTCATCGTAAACTAACAACATGTCGGCGAACTCTTGATTCGAGAAGATTGTAAATAAACACGAAGACGTACGCGAACAAAAACAAAACAACACGCCCGAATCACTGTTACCGTTTGCGATCTATTGCCGGTTCGATAAGAGTGATGAAAGACCGGCGCTGTTGTCATGTGTGTTTTAAATATTTAATTTAATGAAACTTACTTACTTACTGATTACAAATTTTGGCTTAACTTAGAAAAACTTAATGCCATATTTGTTAATTACCCAACTTAATAACGTTTTAGATTAGATTATAAAAATTAGTAAGATTGTGATGATTGTGGTCGATGTAAAGCACTTGTTGTAAACTATAAAGCCATTTAGACAAAAATCTATTGACTTTTGGACCATCGGTCATATGAACTTTTTGTCGGTGCGTTTACTACTAGAACTAACAAGCACTTCAATACGTTAGCTAGCGCGCAAATTTTGACTTTTTCCAACGCAATTCGGTGCGGATTGCCCTGTTTGTAGGTACAGAAAATTTTATTTACAATTGTTTCAACATTGTTCAGTCAAAATTAGAGGGTTTGAAAAAACTTTCATTTTTTGGGACGCCCTAGTACATGTATTTTGTCTAAGAAAACATGAAATTATGTTTACTGATTCCTTGATTTGTTCGTATCAGTTGTACAATGAACAACACATAATTCATTGTTCATTTAAATACTCAAATAAGATAAACAGTGTATTTTTAAATTTTAAAATCCCACTATTTGAAAGTTATTTTGAGTTAATTAGCAAGTATGTTTACGTGATAAAATTAGGGGAATCCGTTTAAAAATGCAAATTTTTCACTCTATCTATGAAAGTGGTTGAGATACGAGTGACATGCTTTTATGTTTTCCAAACAAAAATAACCTAAGAATATCTGAAAACTCGGTAAAACGCAGAAGTACTTAGGTGCATCCGAATAACAGAAATAAAATATAAATATCCGTGAAAAAAAACAACTTTGATATACAGCACAGTAGGGGATCACCCAGGTACGGTGCAGGGTCATCCTGAAAAATTGCTTAAACATTTTTTGTCTCGGAATAATACTTCATCAATACAAGTTCGGGCTACCCAGTGCATGGGGTAGAATTGCATTGCTGGTGAACCAGCTAGCAGGCATGACAAGAAGAACGTAAATAAATATCATATTACTACATATCGGAGACTACTCATTGAGAAACTTTGGCCCATGTCAGTTTTGTTGGAAAATTATTCACGAAAGCTATTCTCAATAAGGTTTCTTCGGGGTCCTTTTACAGTAAGATCCTTCGTATGAACATCGTGTTTAACATCCCTAATAATTCCATCATCGAGACATCAGCTTTCTCATAATTGTCCATGTAAAATTTGTTTTAACAAATATCTCAGTAATAAGTTCATATAATATTTAATAAATTCATTCAAAAAATTGCTTTCTTATGAATACTAAAATATTCTATTTCCAAGCAAAAATAAGGAACGAGTTTTTAGTAGAATGTCGAATAATACTTACGGAATTTATCGCTTTGCACTGTCACAAAACAGGCGCATAACAGTATCATCCACACGCAGTTCATCGTGGATGTAAAGCTTTACGTCAAAGACGAAGCAACGAGTTTTTATATTGATGCGTGTTGATTCTCTTTGAATTTTGTCACTTATATAATAATTGCTGGACACTTAAAATTACACTAAGCGAATCAGTTTGTTCCAGCTATATTTTACCGGTGTGGTGCAATATTATAAATATTTTATATACCTATTAAATATTTTATACACGCTATTAAAAATACATTAGACGATTTTTAACGAAAAAGTTTCCTTGACTTTCATAAAAACTCCAATTAAATAAGGTAATTGTATTGCTTGATCATTGTACCCTACACAAAAGGAAGTCAAAAAAACATATACAAGATTAATGTAACTTTCCCTGTTATTTTTTTAATAACATCGTTTGTAGGCTGTAAAAGTTTTCACCACCTGGTATGCCAGATACTGGTGTCTCATCACCAATCGTCAAGTACCAAATTAGTGCGTCACTGATGTCTCTGTATACGGTAATAGCCGCTTTACGCAATGAAATAGATTAATGAATAAATTGACAAAAAAATTGATGAACTCCTTCAAGGTAAATTACATGGTAAAATTTACTAAATTCAGCCATAACAACATATATTAATGAATTAATGGATAACGAATTTAGTGGCATACCAGCCCGCACAATACTTATTACCGAGCAATATCTATCCTACTTTCTGCTCGAATCCACCTTCCTTTTTCTGCGGATGTTGGCCATTATTTTTCTATTTGTTATATACCTATAATGTCCTTCGATTGTGCCAGGGAATGTTGTCCATCTTTTTTCCAGATTTTTGCCTAGACAAAATGGCCTTTATCTTTATCGGTTAAGTAAAAGTTACCTTCAGCCTGAAGAGCGGGTAGCTGAAATGTTTACCTGCATTTTTAAGCTGCCTACAGATCTTCCAAATATCCTTTTGCTATATTTTTGAGACGGTTTTCCCATTTCTGTGATCGTTCATTTATGATGTCAGAGTTTATTTCCCTAGATAATTGTTGTGGTTAGATGTCGCCTTGAAAACTGCAAACCTTTTTGGCCATTATTCTACAAAAGTGTAGGTTGGCTCTTGTTGGTGACCTCGTGTGTTGTTTTGTTCCAGTCCATCTTCGTTTCCTCAGGTTACACCCGTATCCGGGTGTATGGGCATGTGTGTCTACTTTTGTAAATAGTTGCATATGTGCATTCATTTCGGGCATAATGAAGCCAACAAGCAGAAACACGTATAGCTCGGGTTTCCTATCCTACTTGATGTTCGAATCGACTTTCCACAGCAATATATAAGCCACCAGCAGCAGACTTTAATGGATTTCTAAAAACTCTCAATGCTCATATGGAGGACACTGCAAATAGAAATATAAATCCCTTTTATCGGTTATTGCTAAATTTTTTGGAAAAATTGCTACAAAAAAGAATGATCAACTGTCTAGATAGGTATAACATGCTCAATAACAATTAGTACAGATTCCTAGTCAACAACAAATGATGTTATCTATCAAGATAGCAGGTAACCTGCTATCAAGTTAACAGAAATGATACTCGCGCGAATGTGGATTCTTGGCATGTATGCTCCTCGTCATTTCTGCAATTCTGATACAGTTCTATAAGTTTCTTAATATCGCCACAACTTCATCGTAAAAATGATTCGCGAGGTATGCAAATGATACTCTGAAGAATGATCAACAATCTAGATAGGTATAAAATACTCACTAACAATCAGTGCAAATTCCAAGAGATTATGTCAACAACAGATGCTGTTTTCTGTCAAGATAGCATGTACGCAGACTGTCAAACTTAGATGTGTTTTTAGATAAAATACTCAATACCTCAGCAGCTAATTATCAAAACCCATATCAATATCCTTCTTTTAATGTGCCTGTCCGAATATGTAATAGAAAATGGGCCATTCTATTAAAAAAAATAAGCTTCGATATGTGTCAGGATGGAACAATTGTATCCGACTCAAAGGCCAATGCGGAAGTGCTTGCCAAGATCTTTGCTGCGTCCCCCCCAACGCCTGTTCTACTAACCATAGACAGTTCAAAAATCGGATTAACAAAATTTCTTTGGGATCATCATCGCAGCCGCGGTGTCCTGGAATTTAGGCTCCTACCCGCGCGGCTGCTTTGGTATAAAAAAAATTACCATTCACCACCCATAAATAATTTTCTTTGAAAAGTTTTTGTTTAGAAGCAATATTTTTTCTTTGCACTATTGGGATATCCTGTATCGGGAAAACTTATTGAAACCAACGTAGCGGCACAGATAGTATATGATGGTTATATATGGTCATCTAGTTTACGTTGACTCACTCTTGTGAGACGACCTCATTACTATAATGAAACACCAGTTTAATCTACATGCCATAAACTTTCAGGATTCCTAATCAAACTGCGATGCTTCAAGCCCATTAGAAAACCGTACTTTTACGAGGATAGCTCTGCATGGAAACTGCCGAGAGAGAGAATGTTCAACCCGCCTCCATTATTGATATTCAACCCCTACAAAAGCAAATTAACCAGGGTAACAGTTGTGAGCATTTCACACTTTATATGCACACTGGATCGTTTGCATACTTCACCATTGCATTGTGTCAATAATCGTATTAATTTAATAATTTATAGATAACATTACGGTCGTAAATGTTAAAGGACAAAGTGTTTAGCGCAAACGTGTCAATAGAATATGGGTTGTGTCATAAAAAAATGTTCCTTTTTTTAACGCACTTTCTACGTCACTGATTTAGTTCGGGCCGAGAAACTCGTGGATAATTTTTTTAATTTCGAAAATAAAACTTCATCACCCCCTCGGTAAGGGAGCATCGTTGGACTCATAGTTATGGGAATTTGTTTTGCTGTTTTTGGATGTATATTCTACCCTAGAAATATTGGCACGTTATTCTGAAGTGAAAAAAAAATAAAAATAAGTTTTAAGCCTATTTTCCATTAATAAAGATACGCGACTTTTTTTCTGATTTGACCCAGGTTTCTCTGTTTGGCACATTCTCATCAAAAAATGTTTTATCCCTTATGGTTTCTCTCAACGATTTTGCTATATTTGTAAGTCTACAACGGCTCCTTTGCATACTGGGTGAAAGCAGTATATCACGCATCGCACTAAATCATTGCACAGCACAAAGCTTGAAGTACACTAGTAGTATGAGTAGTAATTTATTTTGCTTTTCAAATGGCTCGTCCCCTACTTATTGTTTCAATGGGTCATGCTGGCAAGCTGAAAATCGGGATGATGACTACCGTTGATGTATAAAATCCAGGGGGAATATGACATAACTTCTTTTATCATGGATTCAGGTTAGGAATGTTATAGTCAGGGAGGTGTAAATATACTCAGTGAGATTAAAAGTGTTATACCCAGAAAAAATAATTGCATCAACTTGATTTTTTGGCAAAAAAAGCATTTTCTGCCCAAGGCCCCCGCATGGCTCAAGGCGGCCCTGAGCATAACAAAATTCCTCGAGTTCGAAGACGTTCAAATTATCACCAAGTTGTCGACTTTAATACGGGTAGAATTATTGTCTATAGAGATGTCGGTTTGTCATATCAAGAAATTGGCCGCCGTGTTAATTGTACTGCAATGACTGCAATGCGTTTGGGTCGTGTGTGGATAGAAGAAGGTAGATGGGCACTTGACCCTATGCTTTTTGTGACATTATGTAGGTTTTCCTATAAGATGTCATTTAATAAGAATTAAGGATGGCAACAATGAGCGTTACATTTGATACAACTGTCGTGGTTATTTCTAAGTTTACGAGGACATAACATCGGGAACAAAAAATAATGCTGAATAAGAAATATCAATAAAACAACAATCTGTTACCCAGTCAAATTTCTCGTCAGAGTGCAAGAAATTAATGGCGCACGAATAGTTTAATAACATATAGATATGGGAATGACAGAATTCATGTAATGAATACCGCAAATTATATATTCGTTATACTACAGTTTGGTTATATTTGCATAAATAGTAATTTGCATTATTAAATGACATATACTGACTGATGTAAATATTGCATAAATCGCTAAATTAGATCATTAAGCTCCTGTATTTAATTGTGTAGCGCTCTAACGGGAACAATTGCATACTAGGATCAAATATCAAATTTACCTGATGCGTGCTTACCATACAATAATTATTGTTCATTTCTCACGGAAGGTCAAACCAATAGTTTTCTGGAAACCATCCGACCAACTACAACCATGTCCATCTTTTTACTAAGTACCTTTACATACAGGGGTTTTCCATTAAGAAAGGAAAATATTTTCGTCGTTGGTAGGAGCCTCTGAAGGACTTAAACATAAGCTACATAATGAATCAGTACCACCGAGTCAATGTTGTCAATTTACATTTGCATTGCGTGTAATGTCCCGCCTGTATAATAATCATGGGAACATAAAATGTATGTAAATTTTGAGAACAGACCAACTTCAGTTGATACTTATGTACCTGGAAGTATGTATTTATTGGTCTAGAATCCAGACTCTAGATAAAGTAAGCTGATCAATAAGATGATCTTCTAAGTCCAGTAGCAATGTAGCGCATATAGCAAGTGAGCTATCTCCCTATCCAAGTGAAACGGAGTTTCGATACGATATCGGCTCTACACGCCTTCAAGCCTAAGCTCCAAACTCACCTCAATCCCTTTCTATCCAAGGTCTAAGCTTTGTGCTTTTTGGAATTAAGTATTTTAATTCAGGGGACAATCCTCTCTACTGTTAGTCATCTGCTCCTTGGTTTTCCTCTTCGTCTCTTTCATCAAACATTTCTTTGTACTTTCATTCTCTGAGGTTTTCCTTTTTGTCTCTCCTTTATATCCCGAAAAAATTTTAAGCTTTACGTAGTTGAGTGAAATATAAACTACAGCATTCTGAAAGAGTTTCGACCGTTGAAATTGATTTCGATGGCGCATTGTGACGATATACTTGATTCGCTATGATAATCTTGACATCTGATTTTATTGATTTTCTATATTCAAATTATCATGGCAGTGTCAAGATTCATCACAGCTAATCAAATATGTCGTCACAAGGCGCCATCGAAATCAATTTCAACAGTCGAAACTCATTTAGAATCAAGCCCCTGGTATCAATATTTTAGGTCTGGAAGCATGAAATTCAAATCTTCGGCATCGATAC